CGAGTCAATGTAGTTTTACTGCACGATAACGCTCGACCTCACGTCGCATCTGTGGTTCGCCGGCAGTTGGAGAACTTGGGCTGGGAGACGATACCCCACCCACCTTATTCCCCAGACCTCGCCCCATCAGACTATCATTTGTTTAGAGCCCTGAAACAGCATTTGCGGGGTAAACAATTTAATGATTTCTCTGACGTAGAGGCGGAGTTGAACAAATTTTTCGAGGCACAGCCATCAGAGTTCTGGGCAAAAGGCATCCAAACTTTGCCGGATCGTTGGCAAGAAGTCTTAGATATTAATGGTAATTACATCATTGACTAAACTTTTTTTATTGTAATAATAATAAAAAAGTAAAAACTTAAACCAAGTGTCTCATTACTTTTGTGCCAACCCGATATATATCAATCTATATATCTAAGGACAATCAACACCTTAATCTTATGAGAATACAGAACCTATAAAGGGTCCGAAACCTCGATAAAACTAAATACAAATGCGATGAAACCTTTTAAAAGTTGTTTCATTTATAAAAATGTTATATTAATACATAATAAAACATGGTATATTCATTTTCCTGAAACATAATGCACCTTGTTTATTTTCCAATAGGTAATATAACAAGTCACATGTGAATTTTTATCAAAAATTTTTACTTCAACTACTCGTAGTTTATAATCTTTGCAGGCGAAATTCTAACAATGAGGGTGTTTGTAATTTTTTATAGACTTTGTTATTAAATTAAAAAAGTAAAGCTTGTGGGTGGCAGGAGTACTTCGATGAGGAGATATTACGATAGGCGGATCAATGGACAGCAGATAACCTACGTGACACTGACTTACTATCCCCTTCCATTAAGCACTAGCTTTCACAACTAGCTTTTGCCCGCGACTTCGTCCGCGTGGTAAAGTTACTTTGAAAAGCATTTTTAACGAATATTTATTCATTCTATCGTGTAAAATACCTGAAAAGAAAGTCTTATCCTCTTAGCTTGTGCCCTTAGGTATGGAATTTATCAAAATCCTTTCTTAGGGGATGCTTACGTCATAGTAGCTTTATGCATGCAAAGTCTCAGCCCTTAAAATTGACAAACTTTCATACAAACTTTCATCCCCTATTTTATCCCCTTGGGGGTGGAATCAAACAAAATCCTTTTTTAAGAGAATGCCTACGTCATAGTAGCCTTTTTATACAAAATCTCAGCCCGATCGGTTAAAAATTGACAAAGTTTCATACAAAATTTCATCCCCTATTTTATCCCTTGGGGATAGAATTGATCAAAATCCTTGTGCTGAGCGTTGATAGATCACTATGTCAGTTAGTCACCTTTGAGTTATATATATTTAGATTATTTTCCCGTGGGAATGCGTCATTTTCCCGCGGTAAAAAGTAGCCTATGTCCTTTCTTGGGTAATAAAATATCTCCATACCAAATTTCATTCAAATTGGTTCAGTGGTTTAGGCGTGATTAAGTAACAGACAGACAGAGTTACTTTCGCATTTACAATATTAATATATATATCTATAATTAATTAAGTATGGATAAAGGAGTTTTTTGAACCTTATATGATACTCTTTTGTTAACCTTAATGGAATAATTAAATGGTGTTCCTTATATATAACTCATTGCAGCATATTATAATGACCCCAATAAATAGATAAAGAACAATTAATAAGAAAAAAATCTACACAAAAATACTTTGACCCATACATAATAAATTTAACGCCATCTAGTATCAGGATATAGAAAAGTACTACAAAAAATCTTGAAACCGAACTTTCGACAACTTTCTATAAAAAATATTACACATCTAATTATTTCTTAATAAGATAATAAAGTTATTATTATTATTATATTTGATCAATTTTGCTTAAAAAAAATCATTTTTTAGCATTTTTCAATAAGAAAACTAAATTATTAATAACATAATATAATCATAAAAAATCAGTAATACAATTCACATATCAGTATATTATATTTTCTGTTTTTAACTAGGGAAAAAACTATTGAACAACTTAAAAGTTGATTGACCTATTTACCGACTCTTGGATTGACTCTAAGCATATGTATTCATGTACATAGATACTGTCATACATCAATAATTCAATACATAAATGAGTTTTAATTTGCAATTATTCCAGTTCATCAGTTAACAATGTACCTATAGATCTTAGCTGCTTCATACAGAATAATGAAATAGCTCATTTTTTTAAAAGATTTTATTAAACAAAAAATATCAGAGAGTTTTAACTACGAGTACCAATAAAACTTACCTATTATTTTTCCTAAAGATATCCGGAATCCATCTTGAGTCAAACACCATCCTTTTTGTGACGTTTCCGGTCCAAAACACTACCTCCCTCTTACTTCCGGCGCCTGTGTTGCCATCTAATATTAGCGGGTAGCAAACCAATTACATTTTTAACTTGTGTAATTTACTTTTTTTCGGAGCTCTTCAAACGCAAAGATCGTTCACGTGTCCAATACATACAATCTAATGATTTGTTTCAGTTAATCATTTCTATCCAGACAGTCATGATTACTATTATCTGTTTTCATTTTTGGCCCTATACTTCAATGGTTAAAAAGGTCACAATGATTAAATCATGGATTCTGCGACCTTGAGCGTTGTGAAGATAATGCCAAATTTCCAGCAACTTGAGGGTCTCAATTCTGCCAATTTCTACGTAACATTTCCATTGTACTATACCTGAAGTCTAATATTATAAATGCAATGTCTTCCTAACAAATCAATAATGAGTGTTTTGTAATTTTTGCTTCAATATTTAATTTTTTTGAAAACGTTTAGAATACTGCTTAAATTTGGTTTTATTCAAGTTATTAGAAATCCGTCTAAATTGTCGCAATAACTCACGCTTTCGTTTACTTACACATTTGAATTCCCTTTTTACCCATTTTGGCCTCCCTGTTGTTGGTATTTTAATAACCATTGTCGGAAACCAAAGATCGTTATATAATTTTAAATCTTCATAAAAATTGTCAAAACCAGTGTTAGGGTAGTCTGATAAGTATACGTCATCAAAGCTAAGATTCATAACACTTTCACGAATTTTCTGACATTATCTCTGCTGTAGTCACATCGTGTAATGCACCAGAATGGATATTTATATGAATTTTTGACAGGACATCTAAGTATCTGTGCACTATGATCCGATAAAGAGAATTCAATTACCTGCCCTTTAGCACATTTGACATTATGTAAAGAAATATCCAAGCACTTCCTACTAGTAGGGCGTGTTGGTTCTTTAATGCTTATAACCAGATTATGGGCCTGTATTGTGACAAAACAGGCCCATAATCTGGTTATAAGCTATATAAAATTTATCTTTGACGTGAATATTAATATTAAAAACATCACACACAATAATTTTGTTCTCGTGTTTTTTACAATATCTATTACCAACGACACCAACCAACCAATGGCATAAGTTAATAGTAAAATAATTAATTTTTGGGATATAAGTGCTGTACATTAAGTCGACAAATGACACATTATCATGTTTACTATACATGTTCATAATTAAGTTTCTCTTCATACAAATTTTTGTTATAAGGTACTTCAGTAATTATTATATTTGTATTAGATATACCATATCATATCATATGGTAGTGCATACCATATCATTGGTTCCTCCTATTACAATAACAAAATCATTCTTAGTTAATTTCAATATTTCATTTATAGCTGGTTTCAGAATATCATACAACTTAGCGCCAGGTTTCCAAAAAGAGAATACATTATATTCTGTTCCGAGGAGTTGCTGCGCTGTCTCCCTAGTTCTTCTTCCCTGTTGGTCATCCTATTTCTTTCAACAAAATCTTATTAATTATTTTAGAATTTCTGTTCTTCTCATTTTTTTGTAGAATTTCCTTTTTGGTATTCCAAATTATCAGTATTAATAATTGTGGAAATGTGTCAAATGGTGGCACATTTCCACAATTATCAATAATTTCTTGAACATCAACTTCACTTCCAATCCCATTTTTATCCCTTTGAGGCTAAAGATGTAAGGACTCTCTCTGTCTACCCCACCACGGATACGGGGCGTGAAGTTATAAACAGATAGGTGTGTTATTTTTCGGGATTAAATTAGCCGTTGGTCCCGGCTGCATTTGCAGTCGTTAATACCCTCCAATCCGTATTGGGCCAGCGTGGAGGGTCATGGCCCATCCTCCTTAACCATCCATAAGGAAGGCCTGAGCCCCTGCAGTGGGGACGTAAAAAGGGCTGGTGATGATGATGATGAAATTAGCCTATGTCGACCACGTATGATGTGATGTAACTTATTGTAGGTGAGATTTTTTTTTTAAATCGATCCGTTAGTTTCGGGACTTATTCGATGCAAACATACAATCAAATCAAATATAATATTAATAAAGATTTCCAGAAAACCTTTATTTAAAAATTACTACAGACAGATATACAAAAATGGTTAAAAATGTTGTTTTGGTATAATATATGTATACGGGCATACTTATGTATCTAATAAAAAGCTGTTATTTCCATATTATAAACAGATACTACAATTAAATAAAAGTAAGCTTAGTTACTCCTTATTACATCAGTTATCTACCCCTCAAAATCGGTCCAGCAGCTGTTTCAGAGATTAGCCGGAAAAACAGACAGCCAACCAAAAAAAATTATTATATTTTATTAAAAGATTTTATTATACATATGTAAACAAACATTATCAGAATATTACAAACAGCCATCACAATTTTATTTATTTGTGTTGATGGTAAATAATGTACGTAAAACCTTCGCCCCAGTTGAATAATGTTTTGATCATATAAACCTAAATATTTTATTTTCTACTTTTTATAGTCTGCCTAGGGGCAATAATAGTTTGTCTTACAGTCTAAGCCGTACGGTTATCTATGTATGTCAACATAAGATATGAATTACTCATAGTTTTCAACCCGTTAGTAAACAACTCGACGTGACACTGTGTCGTTCCCATTAAAATTAATTTTTAATATAATGAGTAGTGAAAGTAACCATTATCCTTTTGAAATAAAAAAGTTGGACGCTAAGGAATATGAAGAAGTGTTTAAACTTTTTAATGGAGGTGATTATTATTTATTTTTATATTATCTGATGATCTGAACATATTTTCTGATGTCGTGTGCGTTGGGTCCTTACGTTCCCTAAAATATGGTTAACGAAGCTATGGCTGGTTCATGCGTCACGCTCGGGAACGGGAGTTGCCAGTGGGTGGGAGTCTGCTCTTTTCTGTTTATTAAGCATTATATACAGAAATGACACAGCATAACTATCGATTCACAAAAGAATTGTTATCTTTTATTAGAAAAGAAAATAATGTCATAATATAATGAAGTCATTTATACGGTTCCGTACCCCAAGATTTAAAACGGAAATCCTATTAGTAAGACTTCGCTATCGGTCTGTCTGTCTCCAGGCTGTATCTTATGAACCGTGAAATATAGACAGTTGAAATTTTCAAAGATGATGTATTTCTATAACCAGATAAAAATAAATATTTAAGCGGGGGCGCCCATTGCACAAACGTGATTTTTTTGCTTGTTTTGCTCGATATGGATAACGACAACACATGAAGACGCTTGAAATATGTACAGAATATATATTTATTTATTAATATGGATATACGGAACCCTTCGTGCGCGAGTCCGACACGCACTTGGCCGGTTTTTTATAAAACTTTTCTGTATTAATTACAGCAGATAGAAAAAGCGGCCCTTGTTGAGTTTTGTGCACATTCTTCTCAGTACAAGGTCTCCCGCCGTAGTTTTGCCATGGCATAGCTTTCGACTTTCACAAGTACTTATAAAAGCCTAGACTGAATAAATAATATTGAATTTGAATAGAAGAAATCACCTTAAAAACTTTTTATGAATACCTTGATGGAGTATTGGGTATATTTAAGCCTTTATTAATGTTTCATGTTGGTTTTATTTAATTGGACCACTACGGTTTGATAACCCTAAGTCTCCTCATTGAATTCGATACCGTTTTTATAACATAATAACACCGCAAAATGAACTCGATTTTGAACATAGCGCTGTAAAAAAGCATAGAGGTTTAATCAAAACCTTAAACGTTATAATCTAATCTGAACAAAGGGTTGGGAAAAATTTAGACGATTCAAAAGTGCTTGTTTTTTTTCATTTATGTTTTGTTATTTATCGCATTTGGTTTGCAATGCATAATTTTCGCAGTTTCCGGTCATAGGATGGATGACCAAAATTTAATCTCTCGTGCTCTTCCGTGCCTCGGAAGGTACAAAAAGCCTTTGGTCCCGGTTGTATCTGGAATCGTTAACACCCACCAATGTACACTGGGCCAGCGTGGTGGGCTATGGCCCGTTCTCCCTATTCGATTCCCTTCAGAAGGCCTGTATCCAACAGTCCTCAATATTAAAAGGTTTGATGATAATTCATTTAAATATCTTTTATAAAAACATCCAGAATCGGGCGTTCTCGAAGATTTTGTTCGTATCGGTCCAAAGGGCTATTGGTTTCACCAACCAATAGTGCATGTGGCTCCCAAAATATACAATATGAAAGTCAGACCAGATGATGTTTGGGTGATCTCATTTCCAAAATCAGGTAAGGGCTATATATATTCTTATTCTCTTTATGGGTATTAAGATTTTTGTGTGTATGGATTACGATATAGTTGAACCTCATATTAATACTTTACATGTATATATTTTATCGCTGTCTAATAAATGGGTGTATATTTTATTTGGTGCATTTTGGTTTTCTAGCGATAAAGAATACTTATATAAATCGTGTAAACAAACTTGGGTCTGAATTGTTTTTTATATAATAAAATATAGATTCTCAAATCAAGTAGAATCAAAGTACGCATCAAGTGTTTTTAATAAAAATGTATTTAATTCCAAAATAAAAGCCGCAAATCTCATAACCAGTCGTGTCCCATTTTCCCAGATTTGAAGACGTTGAAGCTTCTTTTCAATTCACCGGGATTCAGCAATTTTACTCAATTATACATTTGGATACTGGCAAATTTAGATATTGTTTACCAAAGAACATATTCAAAGAAATTACGCGCTTTTAAACTTTGTTCGTGCACTTTTCTCTCATTACTGTTCCAAGATATGTTTAGCTTATTTTTTAATAATTACGTATCACTGGGCATTGGTTTTACGTTTAATATATTTGGGTAGTTCATGACTTTATCGACGAAATCAGTCACTTGTAAGGAGTACGTGTGACTTCGTATAATGAAGTTCTCCCGTCAAGAAAATGAATTGCTTTGTGAAATGGCTAATTACCATTCTTAATTATTGTGTTTGGTGTTAGTATTATTTGTTCCTGCATGATATAACGAGTGCATATCTACAAAAAAAATATATATATAATTGAAAATGTCTGTGAAGTAAATTTCGTTACCATTTTGCTTATTACCATTGAACAGCTCATTACCATTCCGGAATGTCTAATTACCATCACCATGTAATCTAATTACCACTTATTAAAAATCTTTTAGGTAAAGTATCTAGTTATATAAATCTCCAATTGCTATCCTTTCAACATTTTTATAATAGAACATTCATCAGGTTTTAAATAAACCATGAAATAACGTTTATGGGTACAATTTTTTGCGTTTGCCAAAACTCCTGATTTGCACGAAATGAAATATTCGCCCGAATATAGGCGTCAATGCCATATCAATAAATCAATAATCGAAATTAATTATTACATTAATTATTAATTAGTAGCCTGTGCACTGTCCGGAATTTTACTTTTTCTCTATACCGGATCGGCTCTTCCGGTCCGATATGGCGGCAATGAAATACGTATTTACGCTTGTGCATTGCTGTGTCCGCGATCCGGAAAATTTATGAGTTTGCGGCATCGATATTTATTTCGGCAATATAGTTGGTTTTCGATATATTGATAATCGATATTTATTATAGAGAATAAAATTCGATATCTTATGTGAAGATTTAATATAGTTGGTATATATCACTGCATATGCCTTAGCAAGCTCGATTTAGTTCTAATTTTGCTTTGCTAGATTCTAGAATCGTATTAAAAGTATTGATCCCAAAAAAATATCGAATCAAAAGTATCGTACCTTAAGTTATTAAGGTAAAAAAAATAAATGATGTTAAGCTTCCACGCCTAAACAATTGAACTTATCTTAATACAGAAATAGACTTAAGCTTGAGAAAGGTAACTTTTATCACGAAAAATAGGTGGATTTAGGGGATGAAAATTTGCATGAAATTTGTCATTATCAAAATTTGTTTTTAGGCAATTGATAAATATAAATAAATATTTGATAACAGAAGTATACAAGCAAAAGCTAGCCAAAGCTAGTATGTATAATTACAATAGAATGGCTGATGGCTTATCAGCCATCTTATTGTAAAATAGCATATTATAAGTAGCATATCAATTCTCCGCTTACAAGACACTAATTTCGTTTTGTTTACGAAATGGCGTCAACGATTGGTCTACGTCTGTAATCGCTTGAAATTGTTTTTACAAAACTTCGAAGAAAAATTGCACGATCATATATTTTGAACATCAATTACGAGAACATTATCAGTAATTTTATTCGAATGTCACAGATATTTTTAGTTATTGTATGTGAATAATGCTGTTCCTAAACTAGTAAAGGTATAAGTTTGTCGCGTGATCATAATACCTATAGCATCGAAATATTTCTCATTACCTGTTTAATCAAAATAATCTATAACCGTAACTAATAAATAAATTAAGAGTTAACTTTTTTATGTCTTCTACGTCTTCGCACTTAGAGTAATAAAGCAAGCATTGCCAATGTTCCAAAATCTCATCGTACCTAGCCTAAGTGACTTGTAGCTTCAAAGAGAGCTACACTAAACAGCGCCGCTCCGATCCGGAAAAAACGGACAAGTGCACAAGCTAATCATCCGGGTTTATCATGACATGCTGGACCGGAAAAAATTGGACTGCCGGTCCTGAAAATTCAAGGTAGTGCATAAACCCCTTAAGGGTGCTTTACCGGATTCCATATTAAAATCATAACGCGCTAACCATCGACGGCGAACGTAAACATCGAAAAAACTTACACTAAGTCCGAAGATGGATTCTCTATCCGATATTACTACACATCAGTGGCGTAACTACAGGGTGGAAAGTCGGCAAATGCCACGGGGCCCCGGTCAGAGGGGACACCTTACTCCTGATATTTATTATTACACAATTAGGTAAAAAAAAATAGAATATCCAATGAATTTGCCACGGACCTCAAACGGTATAGTTACGCCACTGATACATATTATACAGTAACAACATTTGCTTGATGAGAAATAGACTCTAAGTTAACAAGAAATATCAATCAGTAATAAAACCTTCATATACAGGTACAACATTGACTCAAGAGTTAGTCTGGCAGGTAGCAAGCGATTTCGACTACGCTAAAGCTAAGGCTATACCACTTATGGATAGATTTCTCTTCATAGAGTAAGTTAATTAAATAAAATATCAATTAATCAAATAGAACAAAATTCTCATCTTTATCGAAAGTTTAAATATTTGTAATAATATTTTTTTCGGCTTTTGGGTGGATGCCTGAACATCGATGATAATCGCTCTGTAGTGGCAAAAAGTGCTTGAAGGATTCGTCAGTCCTGTTAGGGCCTGGGTAGCTCAGTGGTTGGAGCAGTCGCCCGGATTGCGAAAGGTCGTGGGTTCGATTCCCATCTCAGGGTGCCAGGGACCAAGTGGATTTTTTAAGCATTTTGTATGAAGAATATGTTTCAATATAGCATCGTGAATGCGAAATTAATAAACAAACAGACAAATTATTAAATCGTTTAAGAAACTAGAAAAGTTGTATTACAAAATTAAGGCCAATTACAAGATACTCTGTTTAAGTGTTTAAGCATACCTCATTTCGAACGCCAATGCCAAAGCGAAAGGATAACTATCCCATAGGTGGCAACCTCGTTACGAAACGCCATACAAGGCTATGATTCCTATACTCGAGGACTGATCCGATCCGAAGTCTTCGTAGCTCGACACGTATGTCCTATCATTTGACGCATTTTCTAACTGTACACGGTGCGAATATAACCAACGTCTGCCCATGTGAGTTCTCAAACTCCACTGCACCTGCTAACTCAGTGTCCCAGATTCGGAGCTTACAGGCATGAACACACTCAGTTATGCAAGATGCACCACGTAACTTCATACTCTATTAAGGATACCCTCTCCAAGGAAGATCTGTCCCCAAGAGCGGGTCAGGTTAATCTTATAATTATTTATTTAAGTTTAATACTTCCTTATTTACTATTGTTACTGTGCTATAAAAAGTATGTAATACTAAATTGATATGCTGAGTTTGTCGGACATTATACATAATATTAATTCTTCGCAGGTTATCATTTTTTCTCAACAGTGATAAGGCACGAACTAAGTTAATTCGTGATGATGTAACCAAAGCTGTTGTTGAGTCATTTAACAACATCTTTGATCGCGTGGCAGAGATGGAGTCGCCTAGGTTCATCAAGTCACACCTGCCGCTGTCGATGCTGCCTCCTACCTTGCTCGATACCTGCAAGGTGATACACGTGGCGCGAGATCCTAGAGATGTCGCAGTTTCTTTCTACCACCACTATTATTTTTTTCTATTCATGGGCTACACAGGCGATTTCAAAAACTTCTGGAATTTATTTATTGAAAACAAACGTAAGTTCAAATTAATTCATCCTGCTATGTTATTCAGTTAAAATAGCCTCGAACTCGACGACAAATAGCACTATGACAGCATAAAGCGCCAATGAAATAAAATCTTTATATATAGCAATTTTAAGCAGGTTTTGCATTATCTTAAAGGGCATTTCTTTTAATCATTAAGCTGATCGAACCAAAGCAGTAAATGACATAGTATACATAAATATACCTATGTATTCCACACTAAAAATATATTCTTGGTATAACTAAAAAATTATGAATTCTAAAAATTTCAGTTGACTGGACACCCTACTTTGAAAATGTCAAAGAATCATGGGAGAAGAGAGATCACCCCAATATGTTGTTCTTATTTTACGAAGATTCTTTAAGGGTAAGAAATTGTAATTTTAGATAACTACTTGAAAAATTTACATTCATATTTATGTCTTGTTTTGAGTGGATTTGTATCCTACCCGTGATTGTTATTTCATGATAATATAAAATAACAATCATAACCTTATCACTATGTGATCTGTCTGTTATTATCACAACTCGTCGTGAGCGTTTACATTAGAGCAATTATGCAATTTATGATACGGTAAACTGTATATTTGAAATAAATATAATAACGAGAAAAGTAATGTCTGCCTCCTAGCAAACATAACACGAATTTCACCATGTGGGTATTTTATTTTAACCATAACGCGTTGTGAACTATTTTTTTCGCTCAATTAACGGTTTCGGCCTTTGAGCGTAACAAGAAAAACACTACTAGTATTTCATTTAAAAAAAGCATATACCTATATCATCTTAAATAATAATAACTTTTTATTGTCATCTAAATATGCAACTAGACAATGTGAAATCTCTTACCTCTGTACTAGGTATAACCTGAGTCAGAGCAGTCTGCGCCCACTTCCATGTTACTAGTCACTGATAAATTATATTAACAATAAGATACAATTATATTACTTAATCTAATCCAATATAATTATAGACATACACAGTCCTATAAATAAACAAGGTTAAGCGTCAGAATAAATTTACGTTGAAATTGCAATTTTAGTATTAGTCAAAATTCATATTATAATATAAGTAAAATATAAGTAAATACGGAGAATAAGTTAACCTATTACCTCGTAGGAGTAAATATGATTCCCGTAGAACCTCGTACTAGGTTAATATTTACTAAGTCACTAATAATATGAATTTTTACTAATACTAAGTGCAGTCTCAGCGTAAATTTACTCCAACTCAAAACCAACGAACAAGCCAACATAAATTGCTATTTGGGTTAATTATACTTATGTAGCATGGAAAACTTACGAAATTAAAAAATAAAATATCTAGCTCGAGAAACCTTTTATTGAAATAATAATAAACCCAAAATAAAGTAAAAGCTCTCATTTAACCCACTCAAACAAAAAGATCAAAGATCAAAATCGACTGATCCCTTTAATAGCCAAAATCTAATAGTAACTGCAAAACAAAGTTAACAAATCCAGGAACTGTCCTTTTCGAAGTCGCCCTCGAATTATTTTATAAAGTACAAACTAAATGTGAATAGGAATATAGAATACCTATCACAGATGACTTATATACTCAAAATAAACTCCTTTTGTATCTTATATGGTGGAAGCAATTTTGAAACTTTTTCTGTAAATAAAAAATCACAAAATAAATCAGTTAAAAGCAAAACATTGTAGTATCGACATTGACAAGCACGTGATGCAACTATAAACTGCTGCGCATTTTAAACTTATTTACTAAAAAATTAAACCAGTGAATCCAGTTTTAGGATTCAAGTGGATACCATTTTTCATTTTACAATATAAATATTGCATACTATTAAATTAATTTATAATTAAGTACAAATTAGAATTATATATTTATTTAATGAAGAATATATCCTTGTTAATTAGGATCTACCATCAACAGTGAAACGAGTAGCAAAATTTCTGGGGAAACCAGTGACTGAAAAACAGGTTAGGCGTCTGTGTGATCACCTAGCTTTCGACAATTTTAAGAAAAATGGATCAGTTAATCTGGAACCTTTTATGAAGTTAGATATGGGTTTGATTGACAACAGACGCTCTTTCATAAGAAAAGGTAATCACAGCTATTTATACTACCTACTTACTACTAAAACATAAAAAGCAATTATTGAGGAGGTATTTTTCAGTTCAGTTATATTTAGATACATTTATTTATACTCCATTCATTATAGCATTAGACAGAATGAAAATAAGGTTCTTTTTATGGTATACTTTGTGACAAAATGTCAACAATCATGTTACTCTTAAGACTAACGGCTAATTTGCTACATATCCATTTAAATACCAGTTGCTATACTTAACCGTTGTCTTTTAAGCTGTATATTAAACAAATTTATGAGTATTTTACTGACTTAAAACATTTAATAATTATTACAATAAAAAGTATCCATCTTAAAGAACCTAAAGAAGCAGGGTTGGATAGTTTCGGCACGATTCTCATGTCACTATAATTCTACCAAATTTAAAACGTTGCCTAATCCCTTCAAACGTTTTGGCAGTACAGTTTTTTAATTTTGTCAGACTATGAGGTATTCATAATTGTCAAAATACGTAATCTGGGATTGTCATCTATTGTGAATGCTACTGCCTTTCTTGTTGTTTTGCCCTTTTCTGTGTTTATTAAGTTGCTATTGTTTTATTTTTGTTTTGTTTTTGTTGTTAAGTTTTATTAAATTTGGACGATGCCGGTGCAGCTGGCCTCATCGCAACCCTGAGGTATCGTAAAATTAAAAAATTGCTCAGCTCTTTCAGACTACCTAACGTTCAATGTTTCAACAAAACTATAATATATCTTTTTTTAATTTATCTTGATAATAAAATGTTCTGCACTGCTGCTTCTGTGACCCTCTTTTTTCTAATGTTATAATGAATGGAGTATATGTTCATGTAATCTATCTAACACCCGTAGCATGACAAACTCGAGAAACGCTTTGTCTACACCAAACATCATAGCTTATTGATTTTTTATATACAACTTATTGGTCCGGCTTAAAATAACCCATTATTATTATTATAGGTAAACCTGGTGAGTGGAGAGAGTACTTCGATGAGGAGATGTTACGACAGGCGGATCAGTGGATAGCAGATAACCTACGTGACACTGACTTACGATTCCCTTCTATTAAATAAAAATGTTTAAATGAACAAGAAACTAATTGTTTTAATAAATCATATACCTATCGGTCAGTTGCACAAACGTCCATTAAGGTTTAATTATAAGGCCTTTAAGCTCTAATGGATGTCGCTTTAAAGTAATCACAATTTTAATTTAAAATCTAACAATAAGTTTTTAAGTATATACCTATTTGTTGGGGAAAACTTTTCAAATCAGTATATTTTTTTAAAGGGAAATTTAATATTTTCAGTATTTTTAGTGATATACAAACTTAATCTGGGGGTATGGAAGTGCTACCGCCAAGTTGAGCAAAAATAGGTCACTGCCGTACTATCCTTTTATCGAAGCCATTAGAGCCATTTTCGAGTAAGTTCGTTGTGGAAGAAGCTAGAAGCCTAAATTTAATTCGTACTAAATAAAAGAAGGCCACAGAAATATAGTAAGCTTCTGTAATAATATTACACACTATATACGGTATGGGACTAGGAAATAAGTTAATAATAGCAATGACCTTGAATATTTTGATAATTTCTACAAAATGTGTTGAACTCAAAAAATTTATCGTTTTATTTGCATAATCTTTTAAATCCCTTAGAATTCTCAATTTAGTCTATTTCTTAT